ATTAGAATAACTGATAAAATATTTTGTTAGCCTCAAAGAGGAAGGAGTTTATATTCCATCATTAGGTACTGTGGTACTATTTTAAAGTTAAATACACAGATGTACTAAAAATGTGAAGTATGTTTTTTGTTTAAAGGGTTTTATTCTCTAACATGTTCTTTGGCATCTCATCATATTACTACCTGTTGCCAGTGAATCTAGTTAAAATGTTCCTCCAGGTGTTCCTTTTTAGTAACACTTAGTTTTCCACCCTTCTTACCATTGTCCAACCTTTTTTTAGATGTGTTGCTCAAATTCAAAAGGAGTTAATATTTTGAATTGTCTCTTAGCCTGGTTCTGCTGCAGTTACTTCCTGTTAAAAGGGAGAGTTTTCTTCCCATTGTCACCAAGGGTCATCTAATTGTTGGGTTTTCACTGCATTATTTTAGGGCCTTTATCTTAAAATATAAAGTGCATTAAAGCAACTTTTGTTTTATATAAATAAAATTAAATTGAATTCACAATTTTCACAGCATCCCAAGTTTTTTGCAATTGGGTTCAATTTCAATTTTTGTTTATTCAGTTTTATTAATATAGCATCAAAACACCACAACAGAGGCTTTTGGGTAAAGACCCTGCAATAATAAGGGTTGTATATGAAACACTGAGCGTTGAAAACAGTTGTCTTTAAAACCGTCTGGCCATCACCCATCGAGGTTATCTTTGTAGTGAACATTGTACGCTCACCACAGGTCTAAAAGTGCAAACAACTGCGGGTCATAAAGAAACTAACATGAGGCCTATCTCACATCTATTGTTTAAAAAATGGCCACAAGAAAGTCTTGATCCGTTAAAAAGGTACTGATGATGTAGTAGCTGTGATTACTAACATACATGAATTAAATCTGGATTTCTTTAAAAATCAGAAAACACAACAGGGTACCCCTTGTTAATTGCAGCCTTCTCTGCTGAGGGAGGAGCACCAACTCATCATAAGGTGGCACTGGTGAACACATACACGTTTTGTCAAAGGTTACTTGAATGTCTGTGTCTTTCAAAATATTGCAAATATAATCTTTTATTTTGTATGGCAGTCATTTTTAATAACAACACGGCAGGCACAGTTTTGGGCAGATTATGTTTGTCCAGTTTTTAAATTAAAGAGAAAAGAAAAATCTATCAGTATGCAAATGTTCCTACTTTTATCATTTCAATGACTTTTCCCTAATCTTCTGCACTAGCAAGAGTATTGCAGTCTGACATTCATGCGTGTGTGTCCTGCCTTGGGGATTAACACGCCTCTACTTCCTACAATGCAGCTGGTTTGTTTGTTTTTTTTGTTGGATTTTTATTGTCTAGAAAATGTATGTTTGATGATGCACAGAACATGCAGAACTTATAGTTAAGCCAAGCCAGCTTATACTTGAGTTATTTCACTATCTTAACCTCAGTGAGGTTTTTGTGCAGTTACCTGTAGCTTCACTGATGGAAAATGTAAAAAGAAAAACTAACATGTTTGGGTGCATTCAATGCAATCCTGAAGCGTCACGAGGATGACTGGCAGTGTCACCTGCTTGTGTGCTGTGTGTTTCTGGGAACCACCTTATTTCCTCTTTTCGTGTCACATGACATGTTCTGTCTATTTATGCTAACAGTCAGAAAGTTAACAATTTATATTTACACTAAGTGCACCTTTCACTCTGTAGGACACAGTATTTATACGTATATTCTTTTAAAGCCATGTTTGTGTTAAGTATATGTGCCGTAGCATGTCATTATTTGTGTTTGTTCTCTCGGTTTTTGACCTGGAGTGTGTATTGAACTTTGATTATATAGTTAATACTAGAACCTTCTGTAACATCACTGCTCATAACTACTGTACTGTCATTAGATTTAAGTTATGTTAGCTTAATTATGGCAACCTTAATTCTTACTGCTTTGTATTAATAATACTGTCAGTATCATAACAACACCTTTTTTTTTTTTTTACCACTAATATAAAGTCCTAATCATAGCTACTACTATTACTAAGACTAAAATACTTGCAGTTATGCTGTTTATAGTATTAGTTTCTACTAGCAGTAATAATAATTGTACTAGCCTACAACTTGCAAGTCGACTTGCAGCATTACCCTCCTACTAACGTGCCAATTATAATTACAGATAATGACGCTCCGATCAGATCAAAGCGAACTGCTAGCAGCCGTTTAAGAGAGTGTTTTGTCAGACAGAAATCTGGAGTTTTGTTTTACTCATCGACCTTTCTGTTAACGCTGAGACTGTGGGTTCCCTCCTGCTAGCAGTCTTGTTGGTTTCGTTTCCTTGCTGTTGCTCATTTCTGAAGTTTTAAATCCTCCCAATGTCTGTCTGTTGATGCTTTCAAAATAAAATTCATACTTCACGTTTCCTTGCAGAACAAGTCAAATCCTCGTTCCTGGCTGTGGTAAAATGCAGCTATATTGGTTGGCTGCTGCCTCTAAACATATCATTAATAATACTGTGTGTTGCTCATAAAAAATTTAATATTCATGATTTACTGTTACTTTTGCATATGGTGGTTGTTGCTGTGGTTTCCCTAATGTGTTGTTTTGGGGGGGGTTAGCAGGCGATGAAGCGGATTTTCAGTGTCTTCTCTCTCTCGCTCTCTCTCTTCACAAAATTTCTTTCCTTTTCCTTTCTCTTCCCGGTCCCCAGTTCTGTCAGTTCTGACTGTAATAACCGACAATAAAAAAAATCCTAATAAAAATCCAGTAGACTATAACTATCAAGTGGACCAGTATAGCTAAAAGCCGTAATGGTCCACTTGGAAAAGTAAATCTGTTCTTGGCCTTCAGGAGAGGCCAAAAAAATTAACTAATTTCTCTGTCCACCTCTTCTTAAACTTAAATTCATCTACAATATTAATTCCACGCATGATCACACTCTAAAACTTACATTTTAAACAAAACACATTACATTATATAGAACGGAATACTATTTAATAATTTATCAAAACATCAATTACAAGTGGGAAGCATAGTGATACTTTGCACATTTTAAACGTAACTTTAAAGTAAAGTGCCTGTAGAAAAACTATTATTATTTGTATACTACTAGAATGGATTTTGTAATTCCTTAATTTCACGTTGTTTACAAGGCTGGTTCTGTTGGTGGTCTCGTCCTAAAAAAAAAATAAGAAGAAGAAGAAAGTTCTTCCTCACCACCGTCGCTCAAGAACTGTCTAATTGTTGGGGTTTGCACTATAGTACTGCAAGGGCAGCTTGCCCTATTTCGAAAAAGAAATTACTGAATGAGAAGCTGTTACTCAGAATAGTACATTTTCAGCGCTGACCGCGTATACGGATGCTTTTATTTTTTTAAGCATGGACTTCCTGCTGCTTGAAAAGTGAGGTATTTATAGGTGGAGGCGCGACGGCATCGCTCCAAAGCTCCTGGTTCCACACTGCTCTGCACTTGCCATCATGCTGAGGACTGCTGTTTTCGTCTTTATCGCGTGCTGCGCGCTTTCAGGTAAGACCCCTAAACAATACTAATATTAAAATAAACGAGATCCATATATGAAAAAGAAAGGCGTAACTCACGTCGGATCTCGCTGTTAGTTTTGTGCTTAAGTGCCACAGTAAGTGTTTAGAGTCTACAAAGGTACTGTGTTATATAATATATAAACAAAAAGGCTCAAAATGAGGCTCTGTCTGTGTGTGCTTACCTACGGAGTTTGTCATGAAATACAATGTATGTGAAACTCTACTTCACAGGGACTTCCTAGATTGTGGGAGAGACAGAAATTTGACTTTCGATATTGTTGCAAGACCGAGTCACATGTCTGCTGACAGATGACAGCTGTTGTTTTTAGAACATGATTTCCGCAACCGAATGCAAACCTTAAAACCTACCTTAAAGTTTATAACTTCACTATTCGTATTTTATTGATTGATTGATCAGTCAAGAAAATCGATTGATTGATTTGTAATAAAATTATTTTGTTTAATGTGCAGAGACCGTTTAAACTGATATCTTGTCAAATTATTTATAAGCACATTTAAAAACAACTCAGGTTGACCAAAGTGCTATACAGACTAATAATAGAGAGCAGAAAGGGAAAAGACATACACACACATTTCCATCATAGAAGCTTTGAGTAATCCCGCTGTACTCTACTCAAACTACTGTTTGATCCCATCAAACAGAAGTTTGAGCAGCTGGTAATGAAAGCACATTGGAACTTCATTTTGTTTAATTTCATTAAATGTAATGATAAAACTACCGTGTGAATATTACATAGCCAGAACTTATTTAAGCAAAAATGTAAGCAATAAGAAAGTTTGTGTTTTCTTACCAAAGCCCAAAGTAACTAAAAGTCAGCTAATACAGCAACAGTAAAGTAAGAGTTCATTTAGTCTGGAATTAATATGAATGCTGAAAAGGATTCTTTGTTTCTTTGTCCCACAAGCGCTGTCATTGGCTGGAGACACAAACAAATCCAAACCTTCAGCAACTGTCGCCCCTGCAAGTCAATTTGACAGTTCAAACACCACCACCACTACCAGCAAGGCTCCAAACACCACCACCAAGGCTCCAACCACCACCAAGCATCCAACCACCACCACCAAGCATCCAACCACCACCACCAAGGCTCCAAACACCACCACCAAGCATCCAAACACCACCACCCCTACCAGCAAGCCTCCAACCACCACCAAGCATCCAAACACCACCACCAAGGCTCCAACCACCACCAAGCATCCAAACACCACCACCACCAAGGCTCCAACCACCACCAACCATCCAAACACCACCACCACCAAGGCTCCAACCACCACCAAGCATCCAAACACCACCACCACCAAGGCTCCAACCACCACCACCAAGCCTCCAAACACGACTACCACGGCTTCACCAACGCCCACACCTAGACCCTCCGCTGGCTTGACCGTAGGAGACTACAATATCACAAAAAATAAAAATGAGACCTGCCTGAGGGCTCAGATGGCGCTGCAGATCCGAAAAGTATCAACAAATGTAGGTTTCTTAATATCGACTGTCTAGCTTTTTCATTTTCTTTTTGTTTGTTTTTTTGTTTTGTGGCATGTAAATTAGTCTTAACATAGCATATAGAAATTCTATTAGCAATACATCCTAATGAGTCCAGCACGAGGATGTGACTCAGCTTTCAGTGATTTAGTTGTCAGCATTCTGTCTTCAGGAAGAGAGAATTTGCTATCATGCAAGTTTAATTTCCTCATTTAGTTACTGTAAATGGTTAAATATTGCCAGTGTTTGTGTAACAAGACAATCGGGTAACTTACATGACCCATGAACTAGAGTTTCTTTAAAGAAAGTCTGCTGCTGCCTTGTTATCTTAAATGAAGTGTCTTGTGTGTGAATGTGTGTGTGAATGGGTGGATGACTGGTTGTGTAGCGATTTGGGGTCCTTAGGGACTAGTAAAGCACTATACAAATACAGGCCATTTACCATTTACCATTTGTTCTTCTCTGTTTATTCCCAGACAATCTTCATTGTTCAGCCACATCTAACCAGTACTAAAGGAAGTTGCAATGAAAACAGTGCCAACATTTGGATTTCCTTTAAAGAGGGCTTCATTAACTTCAACTTCACCAAGGTACTTGGTGAACTCTTTTCCCAAAGCCTGTGACATATACAGCATTATAAGATCAAAATGAGGTGGTTAAAGAGGTGCTGAGGTCAGCCAATCATTCATCTTAACCTGAAATTACCACAGTTACCCTATCCTGCACATTTATGACAAGAACGTCAATTCAACCTCTGACGTCCAAGTCATGACAACCTTAACTTTGCAATCTTAGGATAAGATAAACAGATAGACACCTTATTGATCTCAACCATGGGCAATCAGAATGTGTAATTTCTGATTTTACTAAACTGAGCTCTAGGTTTCAGGAAACAAAGTAAATAATCATTCTAACGTCAAACAATCACATTTCCAAAAAAGTCTGTTCCACATTTCTCCAAGATGTAGGATTAGGGTTAGCACTTCAGAGTGTTAACAGTTTCCTTGACGGGTAAATCTATGTAAGCTGGAAATACTAGTCAAGCAAAGTAAATTGCAGAAGTGTTAAAAGAGAAGTAGCCCATAGGGAAACTACATCAGGCGGCTTCGCCCTACTGCATCCATGTGATTCATTCTGTGGTTTTGTAAGTGATAGTCTATCTGAACATTTAAAGTGTTTATGTCAAATAAAATATACAGCTGAGGTGTAATTATACGACCAACTGCAGCCTGGTCGTCCTTATGTCATATTTATTATGCACAAAAATTAATCGATTTGAATTTATTATCCCAGAGAGTTGGTTCTGTTCACTTGAACATTGTGTTTCCAGCGAGAGAAATGTTTCGAAATATTTCGCTCTCATCCAAGTGACTTCCTCTGTCTCTTTGATTGTGCTTCCACAACTCCCATACAGTGTGGGCACACGGAAGAATCAACTGTCTGGGATTTCCTTTGCTGGAGGATTGAGCGTGTATCAGTTATCATTTTCAAAGATGCAATATGGATTCATAGCCAGGAAAAAATAAAGATAGAAGGAAACATTTGTAATTAGTTTGCCTCCAATATAAATGTTAGCTTAGTAGAAGTGCATGCTGCTCCTGGCGGCAACTTTACTGTAAGTATAAAAACATCCAACAGCTTTTAATAAAAGCCCCACTTGTGAACTGGTCTCAATAATATCACAATAAAGAAAGACACACTGCTGAAAATCAGCTTTCAGTTTTCAGAGTCAAAGCTGACCAAAGCTTCTGGGACTCTGGGTTACTTTCATTTTCTTTCTTTTTTTAAAGTGAGGGTTTTTTTTAATTCTGTACTCTACTGCAGTAGTAGTATAATATACTTTAATATAGTGCTATCATATTAAATATTAGATTGTAGTGGTTCTGGCTAACCAGATTTTAAATAGAAAAGCTCAGCCACGACAGCCAGGAATAGTAGATTGCTTTGTTATGTAGGCTGGTCTCAAGCATATGTCCGGGGTTAAGAGGAAAACAGTAATACATTGTCAAACAGGTTGGATGAGCTGTTTCCTGTTTCACACTTAAAGTTCAAATGCTAGCAGCATGTGTACGTGCTGAAACCTGTTTATCTGAGCACAGAAACCCTCTGACCCAGAAAAATGTTCAGTGTTTGGATTCAGTAAAATGAAAACCAAAATGTCACATTCGGACACAGTGTTTCAGTGTTACTTTGTAAAAGGTTCCCTGTTTTTTATAATTCCTCAGAATGTTCCTAATAACACCGTCTACGTTGATGCCGTGTCTTTCAGCTTGAACTACCCTTTAACCACTGAAGGTAAGTCAATGTTTATTTTGTAACATTTTCACTGATGAGAGTTTGGACTCACTGGATGTCCCCTGATACTTTAGCTGCAGGTAAGTGTTGCACATGGATGGTAAACACAGAAAGAACACAAGCTGTTTCCTTGTTTGTGTGCCTGCTCGACAATATACAGACAAGACCTGTGGAGTTACTGTTAAGCATGTCATGCTACTACTTTCAGTGTAATACTGTTTAACTCGATTGTCGCGATACTTGATCAGCAGTCTGTAAAAACTGTCTTTCTATTTCACACTTGCAGGTACAACTTACAAGGCCATCAACAAGTCAGTCCATCTGTTCCCTGCACAGATTGGACATTCCTACTCCTGCAGCGCTGATTCTATTTACATGGGCAACGACCTGTCCCTGGATGTAAACTCTGACAGAACGCAAGCCTTCAATCTGACCAAGAACAACTTTGGCAATTGTAAGTGTCCCTGTGAAGAACAATTAATCATTAAACCATCCTATCAGTCTCAAAAACATTGTTAGAGCCAGTATTGGGATGGCTGTAGCTCAGGAGGTACAACTGCTTAGCTACTAAACAGGAGGTTGGTGGTTTGATCCCTGGCTGCTCCAGTTTGCATCCTTGGGCATGATGCTAACCCCAAGTTGCTTTCTATACATTGGAATGTGTGTATGTTAGATAGTAAGCACTTATGTATAAAAAGCATAGAAAGTGCTAGTGTGAATGAAGCAAGTTGTATAAAGTTCTCTGATAGAGTAGAAAAGCGCTATTATAAGAACCAGTACATTTACAATAATGGAAGCAGGAAATGTCCATCGAGCTAGGTTTGGAAGTACTCTACTCTAAATGTTTTCCATTCCAAGTCTCTTATTCTCATTTGTTCTAATGGAGTCAAACAGTAGGTTTGGAATGACTTTATTTCTTACAGCAAAGCGTAAATTTAAGACTTAAAACACTTTATCTTTCATGGGGATTTAAACTTTACACATCCTATTTGAATAATATTCTCCAAACAATATTTTACCAAATGATGTAATATGATCAGCATACAAAAATGTGTATAAAGTTAAAAACCAAGGTCCTGAAGCCAAAGCAAGGAAGCAGTGATTATTCATTGCTGCATCCGTAATAGTCCTTAAAAACATGTAACGCACAACACACGGTTGAAATTTAAAAAATCGGATACTTCCTCATGAGTGGCTTTTCATCATTAGAGTTTCCAACAGTGGAAACTAAAGCAGCTGCGTGACAGCTTGACAGCTCTGGAATGCAGCTCAGGAAGAACAGGTTTAACTACAGTCCTAAGCAGATTTCATAGAATAGTTAAGTTTCATGGAACGCATTCATGCTCCATTGTCTTTGTCAGTTGTTGGATTGAAGAATAAAATTTAGCTTGAACTCTGTTACAGACATCCACAATCTTCCAAAAGTGACATTTGACATTTTATCAGTTCTTAGAAAACTGGTCACTTAAAAAAGTGATATGTTGTTTAAATGGGAGTGTGTGTGTTTGTGTGTGTTTTCCAGCTGACTACTGTCCTGCGGACCAGCGTAGTTACAAGATTGCCATTGGAGTGGGAGTGGCACTGCTGGTGCTCATCGTGGTGGTGGTAGTGGCCTATCTGGTGAGCCGCAAGAGGAGGACCGATGGCTACCAATCCCTGTGAGGGGGACTGGCCAGAAAGGGCTAAGCAGTCACTAAGACCTTCTTAGGTGGATGAAGGGGATCTTTACTGAAACCTGTCATTTCTGTCTTTGTCTCCTAATTTAACTGGTTGATGGTTAGTTACAGTTTTCATTCAGAGGTTCCTGCGTATGTGTGCCACTCTAAACAGCTTGATTTTACAATTTGAGAATATAAAGTTTTTTAAATTTAGTTTTAAACGAGTTAAATGTAGATCAGTTTGAATAACAAATGCATACTGGTTTTCATTTTATTGTCACAGCCACACACTCTACACTCCATACGGTCAGGTTTTGAAACGCCAGTATGACAAGTCGAGCGCTTACTTTGTCATTTAATGCCAGTTGCTAGGATGTTTATTTGTGTCACTATGGTACATAAGCAGTGTTTGGATCACAGAGTTGTATTGTTCATTATTGACAACAGCGGCCCCCCGTTATGAGTCATAATCCAACTGTTGCTATCACTTAACTCAAGAGTTGTGAAGTAAAAGTCATTTTTAATCATCTTTTCTTTTAAAATTAGAAGCAGCCTATTTTTAAAAGCATTACTGATTTTTTTTAACTGTTACAGGATGTTGTATTAAATGTTTGTTTTGTTTTTTTTAATCGCATCTTGTATGCTCTTAATTTTTTTTCATAAAAAGGGAGGTGATGGTATATTGTGTTTGGATCATTAGCTATCATCAGCTGAAGGGATCATCAGTTATTGCACTGATCGTTGTCTCAGCCTACTTTCTTTGCCTTTGTCAAACTGTAGTGGAATGGAGCCTCCATGTTGGTCAATAATGACTTTAGTCTAATCCTGATAAGATTTTTAATGGCTCATGCACGTTTTATTTGGTGTTTATGCCGAATAAACAACAATGACACAAGGGAACCACTAATTGGCAGTAGGGAACTATGCAGTTTAAACAACAGTAACTTAAAGTAAGCTGTTCATTTGCATTTTGGGTTCATTTGTGTTTCTAATTTGGATGTCAGATAAAGAACAAATGTATGGTTTATTGTGGCTTATTCTAAAGTGGTCAGTAAGAGAAATATGTAAATGACAGTCCATTTAAATTTTAGAGCGTATAAATGTTGAACAGCAGATTGTTTTGTTTAAAATTCCTGCAACACAGAGAAGTGAGAGGACATCTGAACCCACTCAATCTATGTATGTTTGAAGTTTTTTAAAAAGAAAGAAAGCAATAGGAATGTCAGTGCTATTACATTTAACTTTTGAAATGCACAAGCTAAATTTCTCTGTAGGTTTGAAGCGGGGAAGTAAAAAGCTCAGAGAGATGTCTCAAGAATTGAACAAATGCAACCAAAACCTTCTGCGTGCCACCATAACACCATACTGTACCAACAAAGGAGTTTCTCTCCTGGTGTCAAATGTATTCGTGTGAACCAACTCTTCAGTAATACTTTAAATGATTATTCGTGTGCTTTTGTTGATGTAATAAAAAAGGGATGTTGTGATATTATAACTGTGTCAGTGACTGGCAGCTCCACTCTTACTGTCAGGGCAGGCAGAGGCTGTGAAATGAAGACATCAGCAGAAAAGTTAGACTTTACTGTTGTGCACAGCATGTGAGCACTTTGTATCTCGTTTTTACGCCCTTTTCCAATAAAAATGATTATATTATTTCTAAATATGTGTCTGTGCTGATGGTATCACAAAACTGTAGAGGGCATAGCAGCCGTGGCAGTCGTGGAACAACTGCATTCTCCACATACTTCTTTTTCCCCTCAAAATTTTTTTTTTCCTTTCTTATCGTGGCCCTAATACTCTTTGTAGAAAAACCATATCTACAAAAGCCCCCCCAAAAAAACAACAACTTAGAGATTAGTGTTGGAAACAGCAGAGAGAAAGAGCATCGGAAAACCAAAAACAGAGTAGCTGAGATCATAATAAGCAAGAATGACAAACTTTTGCTTTCTTATGTTGTCTTTGTATTATTTTCGGTCAGGTAGTCAGGTATAACTTTAAAAAAAAAGCAAACATAGCAGCGCTAAATACGTGTCATGATCAAAACACTGTGGGAAAACTGCACTTGTACCCGGAGGTCATCCTCTTGGTCCGCCCCCAAGAGGTTACAGCAGCTCGTGCCAAAAACCGATTGTCTGCCAAAAAGTGATTTCCAGTGTTTACAGGTGTTTTTATTATATGTAATGTCTTTACTTATATTGGTTGTTACGTCCCTCTGCAGCCTCTAATCTGCTCAGTGTGTTCAGCTGGTGCTAACTGGCCACACCTAGTCAGGTGTGGATAAAAGCATACCTGAGGCAAGCGTACAGGGAGCTCCCTTGTCTTTGCCTTGGTGACATCAGCCATTTTAGCCAACCTGCTATGCCATTTTAAGATAAAACCTCTTCTCACCCATACTCTGGTATTCATCTCCTTTTTTATGTTGCGGCTTTTGAGCCGGGTCGTAACATTGGTAAATAGACTAAAGTGAACAGGGTTTACAAAGAGGTTATATGGTAAGATGGTCATCTTATCAGCTTGTTTGCTCACTGTACATTTTATACATAGCTCTGTGCAATTTTTTCCATACATATTTCTGTACATTGTTACATGTATATACGAACTTCAGTTGCTTATGTATATAGGAACACTTTGTGTCTTCCTTTTATATTCTATATTCTCCTTGCTATAAGAGCTG